TTGTTGGTTAGTTCTTAATTTATATATTTTGAAATGTTTTTTCACCCATATTAAAAAATGTTAAAGCAGTTTTTGTTCTTAAGTATAGAGGAGGAAAAAATCTCATGTTATCGGTATTTTAATTGATCCTTAAAATATTTAACATTACTCAAGAAGCAAACAAAAGGTAATTATTCAAATTGTGATAGTATGATAGTATCTACTATTGATAATTTATGATGACAAGGCGAAAAATTATTATTAGATGATTTTTCAAACTATTATTAAACAAAATTAATTCAGTAAACAAATCGTTTTTTCATCAAGAAACGAAAAACACTTCATATGATGTATACCATAAATAATAGATGCTGTAAATACGTGAAAGGCATGTATAGTTAATATTTTTTGGTAAGTACCTAAATATATTTAGAATTAATTAGTTTAATTAAAAGAATTTTTTTTAACTTATTATAGGTTTTTGGTTTAAAAAAAACTGCACCCTTCGGCAACCTGGCATTCACTTTTAGAAACAGTCCATTTTTTCATCTAAAATAAAAAAAATTGGTAGGATTTTTTTAGTGATTTTTCCTGTTAATATTACAGCATTTAACGTAAAAATTCAAAAAACACTAGAGCTCAAAAGCTTTTGGTCAACGCGTAAAAAGCATTTTAACATTTCTATGCGGTTTTTTTTTTCTTTTTGTAGAGATGTTTTCCACTTTATTTAGTCAAGCCAACATATATATTACACTTGATTTCAAAATTTTTACCTTTCTTGCAATTAAATGGAAAATTAAATTGCAAGTAATCCTTAATGTAATCTTTGGATTAAATTTAAATCTTTGCACTCAGTTCCATATTTCTTTTTTTTTATATGAGAGTCTTGTAAGAACTAATTCTTCAAAAATAAATATCAATAATAAATTAAAGTTAAAATCAGAACTTTCGCAAATAAATATGCAAAACTTATTCTTATTTGCTGAAATTGTATTTTCATCCAATTCTTGGATGTAAGAAAATCACTTCACGAAAAACAAATACCCGACTGATAGGAAAATTGCATTTGATTTAAAGTGATTTTCAAAGCACTAACTTTGCTTTCTGGTTGATAAGCATATTAAGAATGTTTAGGAATAAAATTATACATTATTTATTACATTTCCAATCTACCATCTATAATATTGAGTTTGACCAAAGACTTTGCACGCTAGTGTATTATTTAGAAATATACCATAGTAATCAAAACCAGAAATTCTGATTTTCAAAATTATAGTTCTTATTATCACATATTTAGGAAAAACTACGAAACTGAAAAGTAAATTTAAACAAATAAATGGTTCCTTATACTAAACTCTATTAAATCATGATAAAATTACCAAATTTGATCACATATTATAATACAATATTTTGTTGCTAATTTTATCAAAAACTTTGCTAAAGAAAGACAATTTACCGGGCATTCTTGCGTTACCCTAGAGCTAAGCACAATATAAATTTTACCTTACAATTTTTTCTCAGTGTAAGATGGGAAAATGGCTATTCGGTGAGTAATACAGTAAAAAGAAAAAAATATGAATTTAAATCCATATATAAACCATGCTCAATCCCGCAATTTACATAATCTTCTCGAGTTTCAAAGTTAATCAAGTATGTATTTCAAAAATTATACCAAAAAATAATGTAAGTTAAGTAGGAAAACGACACAGATTTGCGCGACAATATGATATCCAAATTGCTATCATTCAAATGCGAATCCAATGTATTAGCTTTCAGTTTAAATTTAAAAATCAGTTATATATTAATTTAGATATTACTAATGAAGTGCTGTACTACATATTTTATATGTCTAAAACAATTATGTATATAACTGCATTAAACTACAGTCTCTCTATGCTTTCAATTGTATTCTGCTTTTCAATGACCGACAAACTGTTTAATATTAAAGACTGCGGTGGGATATTTAGGAGTCAACCACTTTTTATCGCTAGATAAACTGATGTTAGTTAAACTAGCAAGTTTCATTTTTTGCGAGGTGAAGACATTTCTCAGAAAAATGGTTAAATATCGATTTATTCAACTTTTATTTTACCATATTCAACCAATACAGTCAATGAACCATGAAAAAGAAGGTATTTAAATTGTTAAATAAGAGAAAAATCGACTATTGTTTCACCTAATATGGTAAAACAACCATACTTTTATCAGCAAAAACTAGTCTCATCTTATGAAGCCACTTAGCTCCTCACGCAACTGGTTACGCACTATAGCCGAGAGAGCTAATCTGTCAATCTCATGACTGGCTGAACAGGAGGTTCAAATCCCAGAGTTGACATCACAATATTCCTTCAGCACATGAAGAGTTTTCAGTGTTCTGCACTTCTCAATTGGTGACCCTGGACGAGTAGAATATAAAACTCTCATTTACACATAGATGGAAACACCATAGAGACGTTTAATACTAAAAGCCCTGTATTTCCTGTAACTCATGACAAATGGCACTACTAGATAAACTATTTAAATCAGAATCCATGTTTCACTCAACAAAGCACTACTCAACCACACCCTAACTCTAGTGTCTATTACCTATCAAAGATATTAAGAGAACCTACCTCCAATGTCCAGATAAATTTCTTTTTTATATTTTTGAAAGCATGCTAATTGTAAATGGATACAAAACCCTATAGTTTTGCATTAACAATTTTATCACCATGCCAGTAGTAAAAAATATTAATACCGTGAAGGTAAAGAAATGTTTATAACCGTGAACTTTACGGTTAATTAGATGAACAGACTGATTCCGATTTTTTTACCATAATTTCAGACTGAAAATTCTAACAACGTAATAATGAAATTGATCCCCAAGTTTATAAAGTCAAATGGAACTAATTTTAATTTTCTTCAAAATCTAGTGGATACGGAAGAATTTTAAATTATGAATAACTGAATTTAAGTAATTGCTTCTGCATGTACTTTGCAGAGAACTTTATTTTTATTGCAACCCGTTGAAATTTAGTGTCATAGGAATAAAAATGCTGTGTTGTGGCAGTTTGAATATGTAATATTTATAAAAACTACGCATACTCTATTAGTTATTATGACAGCATTACACCATAGGCATTTTGCCTATTCATATTTTTGATCATAATTACATAACTACATTAAATGTTTTCAGCAAATTGCACGGAATTTTATCGTCAATAAAACACAGTGATATGGGCAGTGATTTTGGCTTTTAAAACTTTTGATTACTAGGTATTGCCTTAAGAGATATTTCAATTTTTTTTTTCATTTTTTGTGTTAAAAACTCTTTATAATGATGTAGACAACAATGTAATAATATAAAAGAAACTCGTTGCATTATATGTAGAATAGGGTACTAGACTTTACAAAGCAATTAATTAATCAGAGCGAACTTCTAAATCGATCGTAATATAACTTTTACTCACAAACTGTTTAACTGTTAAACATTATTGCAAGATTATGAACAGAATAAATTTAAAAATACTAAAATAATTCGTAAAAAAAAGTAGTATGAATTTTGCAAAATCAAAAAAAGGACGCTTTAAATTTCATTGTGTTTTCATTAGATAAACTGAATCATGGTTAAAGACGTAATCAATGTTTTTCCGTGATTTTCATAATTAATGAATTTGAGCCGTGGTGGCTCAGGGGATGGAGTGTTCGCCTTCCAATGAGGTGAACCGAGGTTCGATCCCGGCGATGACTGGTTGATACGAATTCCGCATCCGACTTGCAGCAACAGTGCTGACGTGAAATATCCTCAGTGGTAGACGGATCGTGGGTCAGAGTTCCCTTGCCGTTAGGCTAACCGTGGGAGATTCTCGTGTTCTTTCTTTCCATGTAATACAAATGCGGGTTAGTTCCATCAAAGAAGTCTTGCACGAAGGCAAATTTCTCCCAATACTTAATCCAGGAGTTCCCTTGTCTTCTGAATTGGGTTCAAAATTGCAAAGCTACGGAGTTGAACATTAGTAATCGTGTTGCGCGCACTTCGAACTTTCGGAGTGTCTGTTGGAGTGGTTTGTTACTCCTCTGAAAACATTAAATTGACAGAATTAAGTTTCGGTCGTGTGTTGGCAAGAGATATTTTCTTTTCAGATAACGTAAGTGACGTCATCCATGCATATAATTATGGAATCTGTATACAAGGCATGCATTGTTGTAAGCATGTGTTCTTGTCTTGTCTCTTCACTATGTCAAGTCACTGTGTTGTTGTTTCCAGTGATGTACCAACATTTTTGTTAAGATGTATTTGTTTTTAATATCTTCAGTTGTACGCTGTATCGAGATGGTACTGCATAAAGTAAAGAAATGTTTAAATCCTCAAGTTTCTTTATGTGAGTTAACACTTTCACTCACTACTGTGCTACTCCGCTAACGCATCAACAGTGTCCCCGGATGCCCCCTAACGGGGACGGGGCGGGGTTAAGCTAGTTATTAGTAATCGTAAACCCTAAAATATTGGCTGTTCAACGACAGTTATATAAAATAAAATTAATGAATTTCATTTATGTTATTCAAATTTGAATCACTGAAATTGTTAAAAAAATAAAAGAAAAGCAATAAAAACTAGTTTAATAGTTTAATAAAATTTTCAAAATGAATGAATTTCATCGAAATAGTTCAAATTTGCATTTAAAAATGGCAAAAAATCGGATCTACAAAAACTAATTCAATGTAAAAATTTTATATTTTTTAAATTTCTACCATACAACATTTTTACATTATTTTAACAATATTACAATATTTTTACATACTGTTTGTATTTCAACTTAAAAAAACAACTTTTTTAAGGAGAGATAAAACTGCCGTTGTAAAAAAGAAAATCACTTTTGTTGATTAAAATTACATGAATCAAGGCTTTTCGCTTTCATTCTTAGATATAAGTAGAGCAATAATCCTGATAAGATTACTGAATAACAATATCAACTCAAGTTTTATTTTATTGATAAGATGATAATCACAATGTTTAATTACATTTAGAATTCTCTAGCGAATACAATACCTCACTAAGCACGTGGATACTTGTTCCAAATAGAGACGTTCTCATCCCATTGAAATCATGTCGTCTGTCGAAAATTGTTTACCTGAAGTTCAAAATAAAACTCGTTCAAATCAAGGAAATGGTAAGCATTAACAACAGTTTCAGCAATATTTCTTATTTCTTGACAAATATATTAATGTTCGGAAGCCATTAGAAGTGAGACCCACTAAATTGAAGGTACTGATAAGTACTTACAACAGTTTAAGCAAAATTACTTATTCCTTTATTATTGTAAGGTTAACATGGAAAGTTTCACAATTTTTACAAAAATATTGGAAGAACTGATAAGCAAAAACAGCATTTTACGGAATATTTCTTATTTTTTTGTAAATAAATTGTTGTATGGTTGTAATACATTGTTGTAAGAAGCCATGGGGGGTTTGACTCACTAAATTGGAGGAACTGATAAGTACTTACAACAGTTTAAGGGAAATTACTTATTCCTTTATTATTATAAGGTTAACATGGAAAGTTTCACAAATTTTTACAAAAATATTGAAAGAACTGATAAGCAAAAATAACATTTTACGGAATATTTCGTATTTCTTTATAAATAAATTGTTATAAGGTTGTAACAAATTGTTGTAAGAAGCCATGGGAAGTTTGATTCACTAAATTGACTGATAAGTACTTACAACAGTTCTAGCAAAATTAATTATTTCTTTTTATATTATAAGGTTAACATGGAAAATTTCACAAATTTTTACAAAAATATTGGAAGAACTGATAAGCAAAAACAACATTTTGCGGAATATTTCTTTATAAATAAATTGTTATAAAGTTGTAATAAATTGTTGTAAGAAGCCATGAGAAGTTTGACTCACTAAATTGGAGGAATTCATAAGTACTTACAACAGTTTAAGCAAAATTACTTATTCCTTTATTATTATAAGGTTAACATGGAAAGTTTCACAAATTTTTACAAAAATGTTGGAAGAACTGATAAGCAAATACAACATTTTAAGCAATGTTCCTTATTCCTTTTCAAGTATAATGTAAGGCAGACATGTTAGAATTTTATCAACTTTTTAAAAAATATTTAACATATTAAGTTTAATATGTTAAAAATTTTATTTTTCAAAAATAACAAATTAAATTGTTCATGATAAATCTCCTAAGTTAACGTTATTAGAGAGTCTATAGTGTTAGTCATCAGTTTGTTTTTTAATTTACCTCTTAAAATACAGTTTAATTACATTCTGAATTTTCAAGAGTGATTGATTAAATTGCATCAAATCTTCCGGCCTGAAGTTGGTGAGAGTTGTTGTGAATAATATTTGATGAAAATAATTATTGAAACCTTAACAGAGATAATAAATGTTTAAAGAAATGCTTCAGGCAATATTTGTGTCTAGAAATATATAAAAAAAAATTTACTGGTGAGAAACACCAAATTTGAACTAAAATTGTTAAATGAATCAATTAACAAGACTATACGGAGACAATTCTCTTTATTTTTTTATTTATTTATTCCAATAGCAACTAGAATAATATTACCATGAACTGACTTTTTTGGCATTTTTTGTTTCGTTTGAAACAAATTTTTAACTGAAATCTTGTTTGAAAGAAGTATTGTGACAGAAATATGAATGCTAATACTTTATTATAAACTGTATGATATCAACCCATACAGCGTAATGAGCACAGTGAATAGCGTACAGCGAATGCAATGTCACTTCTTTAAGTAAATCAGAAAAAAATGAGAAGGAAATTACTGAGGCCGTCAATATGGAGTACGCTGTTTTGGGAGAAAAAAAATATCATTTAAATTTGCGAAAATTTATTCCATCTGCATGAGCCTTGATATAAAATGGCTAACTTTTTCATTTTCATAAGTTTCAGACCCTCCTGCCACAATTTTTTTTTAAATTTCATATTTCTTAAAAAAATTCTTTTTAGATGATTCCAAGAAAACAAAGTTATCTGCTATTACCGAAACCGTTCTCGCTTGGGACAAGAAGGTACCCCATACTGCATCGGAGCAGTTCCGAAAAAGAATAGCCGAAAAATACAACATTACATTAGGTAAGTTTATTTTTACACAACTGTTTTCTTTCTTTCTTTTTTTCATTTTACTGTGTTTATAACCAAATAATTATTTTTAAGTAATAGTTAAAAAAATTATCACAAAATCATATTGGACCTTTTTTTTAAAGAACTAAGTAATTAAAGTAACATAAATGATATATGATTTGTTAAAATAATTTCTCAGTCACGTATAAATAAATAAGAAAGATCTTTAGTTTTTAACTACAAAAATTTTCAAACTGCGCATATTATAAATGTGTTAAAACATTTTAAATTATTCAATTTTTCAAGTATGTAAATACCATGTTATCATCGGTGGTATGTCTAGATCAGCGGTTTCCAACTAATGGGCCGCGGGCCACAGAAGTACAGGTACTAGTCCATACTTGCTAAGTTGTACTGGTCCATGAATAATGGTTGAGAGTCTAAGTTAAGATAGATGTTGGGGTTTAATACCAGCTTTTAAGAATGATTCACAAGCCCTAGGGAGATCTGGCACTTCGCACAATATATTTTAATTTTTCTTGAACAGTATTTTTTAATAATTACTATTCCTATTAAATACTATATTCCTTTTATATTTTGTTCCTGTATTTGTTCTGTCAATAGGCCTCAAAAAATGCTTCTTTTACAAAATGGTCTTCCCCACTACTAAAAAGGTTATGAACCGCTGATCTAGATCAGTTGTTCTCAAACTTAATCCCGGAGTCGCGATGGCTCAGGGGATAGATCGTTCGCCTCCCAATGAGGTGACCGGGTTTGATTGCCAGCTATGACTGGTCGACACCAATTCCGTACCCGGCTCGCACCGACTACAGTGCTGACGTAAAAATATCCTCAGTGGTAAATAGATCATGGGTTAAAATCCCACTGCCATCGGGTTAACCATGGGTGGTTTTCGTGCTTTTTCTCTCCATGTGACGCAAATGCGATTTAGTTCCATCCTCCATGAAAAATAGTTTATCAAGATGCTTGATCCAGGAGTTCTCCTGTTTTCTGGGTTGGGTTCAAAATTACAAATTAACGTAGTTGAGCATTGATAGTCATAAACTCTGAATTGGGTCAGCTGTTCAACGCCGTTTATGAAACAAAATAAAACTTTATCATAGAACAACTTTGAAATTGAAAATTCACCTAGGAACACTAAAATGTATCTCGCAACTTTATGCAGTATTTGTCAAGTAGAATCATAGAATAAATTTACAACACAAGACAATTTGACAAATTGACGGTATAATGTAGTTTTAATTGACAAATTGACAACTCAAGGTAGTTCTGTCATTTAATCTTGCAAGACATCGGGTTTTAGCTTTTATTTACTGTCACTGAACATGTAATTTGCACTTGAAAAAAAGGCACTTGAAAATTTATTCAAAGCATATATTACAGTTCAACAGTTTTATATTTTATGAATTTGGCCTTATAACGTTGGTTTGATTTCGTGAAACTGAAGTTAAATTGAAGGATAAGGGTGTTTTAATTTGCACAATGAGATTATATCAGACTTAATTTTGGAACTTCGCGTTAATTTTGATTGTTTCAAATAATTACAGATTTATTTTTAATTTAAAATTTTCAATCATGTCCTATAAAATAATTATTTCAAACGTGCCCTACCTTTGCAAATGACTAAGTGCTTCAAAGAACGTTGTTTGAAAATTTCTGACCATGCATCACTCTGAATCTAGACATTTTACCTAGATATTCATAATCTTCGGAACCTAGACATTCATACATTTATGAAGAGACGATTGAAATATATTTTATGATAGTACATACACACAATAACATTTGTAAAAATAATTTTCTGGGTGTTGAAAAACACTGGTCATGCAATTTCTTTCGGCATCAACTGAAAATGCAGCATTAAGTCAAGATTTTTACGTGAAAAGCAAATTAATAAACTAACCTGCTTTTTCTTGATCAATTTATCTGAGGAAGCATAAAAAGTACATTATAATCATTACATTTAACATCCTCATTAAAAAAACAAAAAAATCTGCATTGTGCGGGTCAAAAATTAATAGCTCAGGTATAAGAATAAAATACTATTGAAACATAATAAAGACGGTGGGATTAAACACATGAAAACCTGTTTGAAAAAGGTTAATAGTAACACCATCAAGTTTCACATCGCTATAAAATAGGTATTGTTTTATTTACTCCTAGCTTTGTACTAATTTCATGGTTTTCAAAGAAAAAAAATTTTGGCCATAAATGTTAACATGTTTGCTGTCGATCTCCATCATCGCAATATGCTACTCTAGTGACTATCACGTGCTGGCGGGAGATTGGCTGAATACCCATACGAGCTCTTCTGTAGTGATACACCTTTTGAAATCATTTTATTGATACATAAGTAATACAAAAGGGGAAAGAATCTAGTATTCACTCACCAGGTGTGTCATCTCGAAAACAGGTCATCTATGCACAGCCAAGCAAACTTTCTACTGATTCCTAAATGGGTGCAACCCTTACAGCAAGAGGGAACTTCGCCAAACTCACCCTTTGGCTCACTTTATCGATGTTTTTGGCGCACTTACTATTTTGGGACTCCTTGCTCTACATCAGTAGTGTAGTTAGTAAAGCCTGGTGGAAAGCCATGGTTGCGAGTTTAATCCTGGCAACCGATTAAGGGACAGCACATATACGTGGCAAGGGACACCTTAAATGTGTCATAGCTGAAAGTCTTCTTGTTGATTGTGGGGTGGATGCTTGAGATGAGGTACCAGCTTGAGCGCCTTCCACGTGTCAGGGATCAAAATCACGTGACATTCCTGCCAAGGCTCTGAATAAACCTGAGATATAGCTCTGGAAAACGAAGCTAGGTGCTTAGTGTGTGTTAGAATCCTAATGTGCTTCCTTTATCCTTAATTTTTGGCAAGGATTCCATAAAATATGTACTAAGCTTGTAAACAATGTTCAATCATTTGCTTAATTCTAAAAACAAATATTAGACATTATGCAAGCAGTCAATAATTATAAGCACTAAAATTACTTAATATTTTAGATAATTACTGGGATTTGCATAAATGGAGTATTGATCATTTTGAGCAGTTTTGGGAAGAAACCTGGAATTACTTTGGTTTTATTGCATCGAAATCTTATGATCAAGTAAGTTATCTAAATTTTTCAGAAAATGGTTGACTAAAATGAACAATGTAAGTAAAAAACAGTTGAATGAACAAACATTTGCTTACTCTTGAAATTTTTCGTATTTTCGTTCTTTTAAAATACAATAATTTAAACAATAATGCTTTGCAATCAATCTTAATTACTCTTAATCGCTTTAAGAACTTGAAATTGAAGACTTTCAAACTTTACAAGACTTCCTATTTCAACAGCATAGTATGACTCATTTTAACTTAGTTAAAACTGCAATACGTTCTCTTAAGTTTCATCTTAAAGTTATAAGAGATTTAAAGCGCGCGTTCTTAGAAAAAAAAACTAGCAAATAAAAGTTCAAAATACATTAATAAAATTTAAAAAAACACAATTGATGTTTAGTATAAGACTTAATCAACTTTTACATTGATATAAAACTTAATGAATTTACAAATCATTGTTAAACTTACTAAATGTACTCACTATCAGATAAATATTTCAATACATTGCTTTGTATTGTTTCGAAAAATTTACTTCATTGTTTTATAACTTCCCTAAAGCAGGTTTAGACTAAATGATTTTTTCAGTTTCAAGTAAGACTGTATATTTTCAAGTATGTGACATACAAAGATAGTTGACGCATTAAAAGATACATACACTTATTGAAATTACAGTGCATGCCACAAATGTTAAATGAGTGCACTGTTGGTCAACCAGCACATATACAAATTGTAATCCCGTTTCCGTCTGTAGATTCAATAACATGTTTCTGTCAATGCCTGTCACAGAAGTAGAGATCTGTCTTTGGAGTATTGTTGATTTAAGCTTTTTCTTTAGCAATCTGGCGTTAGAAGTACATAGACTTTATTCATCACTGATTTCAGCATTACGGGTAAATAAACTTTGTCCATCGAAATTTGGAATTAGGGGTATATAAACTTTATGTATCACAAATTGGGATTACAAATAAATAAACACTGTCCTTCAACAGTTGGAATAAGGGGTACTTAAACTTTATGCATCTTAAATCGGCATTATGGCTAAATAAACTTTATCCATCACAAATTGGCATTCAAGTCAATTCCTTTAGTACACTCTATAACAAAAAAATCGACGCACCAAGGAGTTGTCTGATTGAAACGAAAATTGGTGGATAGGAAGACAATGTACAGAATAGTAAATGAAAAATTTCAGAACAATTGAATAATTTATTGCAGAGTTACAGTAACAAGTTCAATAAGGTGTTGACCCGCCTCTAGCCTGGATACAAGCTGCCACACGGCGTGGCATAGACCGATAAAGCTCCCGGATGGTTTCTTGCGGTATTTCCTACAAAATTCGATCCAATTGTCGAACGAGGTCATCAACATTCCGTGCCAGATGCAATCAGCTTCCCATCATATCCCAGACATGCGCGATGGGAGAGAGATCTGGTGATCTAGCAGGCCAAGGAAGAGTTTGACAAGCTTGCAGACAGTTCATAGCAACACGTGCCGTATGTGGTCTGGCATTGTCC